GTTTGGGGTCTCCAGCTGCGAAACGAAGGCCTTGGTCTGGAGGTCATTTAACAAAGACACACAACAAGGCTTTTGGGAAAAGAAATTATTAGGAAAATAATTTCACAGAGCATAGCTTGAAGACCAAATGCATCGCTATCAGTCAAACGTGTCGTCAGTACTTTTATACTAATTATTTGGTAACACTTTACAATAAGATTCTAACATTAGTTAATGTATTAACTAACATGAAATAACTATGAACAAAACATTTGTTACAGTATTTATTAATATTTGTAAATAATGTTCATTGTTTGTTCATGTTAGTTCACTAACAAATACAACCTTTGATTTTAACGATGTGTTAGTAAAATGAATATTAACTAAGATTAATAAATGCTGTAGAAGTTATGTTCATCCTCATGTTAACTAACGTGTTTAACTAATGTTAACTAATGAACCTTATTGTAAAGTGTTGCCAGTTATTCTGTGGAGCTCTGTGTAAATAGACGGGATAATTGTCACACATGGAAATTATTAATAAGGGCTTTATCTCAGTAACTATAAAGCGTTGCGTTTAAAAGTCCAATTACACAAACATTTGTTTTCTAGCAATGCTTTTTATTGTTTGTTAATTTTTTTAGAATTCACAATTTTCTGAATTCTGTCTAATTCCACACAATAAACCCACAAAAACAACTATATATCTGATTTTTTTTTTTTTTTTGGGTGGTAATAAAAGTCAGATCAGGGCAAGTTGTCACGTGCATTTTATGTGTTGATTAATAATATCTGTGTTGGCCAAACGCATGTATGTTTACTTCTACATTTTTGCTGTTTCATAATTTTTCATCCTCATTTACTGTTTACATTATGCCGAAAGGTCTTTAAATAGCTTTTAATGTGACTGGAATATCCCTTATGGTGTGACAACTTGCCCCAGCAATAACAGTTGTAATATTCAATTGCTTGTTTTCTCAAGACTTTGAGGTTTGTGACTAAATGAACTGTGTGACAACTAGCCCCATACTTTATTAGTACTGTTGCAATCAATAGCATATGCATGTAAAAGGTGTAACATTGATCCTGGTGCTGTTTAGAACAGGTGAAGGCTCAAGAAACCGTCTGTAAAACCAAAGTAACTCGTAATTTAACACACACACACTTTATATATGAATCTTACTGAACTTCTCTGCCACTCAGTGGCCAAATGAAATTCTCTCCCATTCAACTTCAACACTGAACAACACTTAAATTTCCCAAGCAGGACCAGATTTGCACTTTAACATCCTCTTCAACACTGTAACAAATAAAAAGGAGGTTTTTCTATCTATCCTGACTCTAAAAATGACTACCAGGAAGTGTTGTACCCTATTAAACAATCTGCATGACTCGAATAAAACCTGTAAACTTATGATGCACATTTCGAGGTCACCTAAAAAGCAAACATTATTCACATTGTAGCATCGTGAACTTATCAAGAGATCAAACTATCTATCAGAATACAGTCAAATCAAAGCGAATCTTGCATTTGAACGCATGAGCACAAGTGGAGCTTCCCAACACCACCAACATGACATCATTCATAAGCTTATCTAAATATTAACTACCATATTTACTCAATCTATCATGAGTTCGTTCAAGAAAACCCCCTCCCGATGCAGAAGTCTCCCTATAGATCAATACTAAATGTTAATGTTTTATTAATCCATCATTGTACACAGTCAGTCAAAGGTACACAGGACGTGTCCACTTGTTCTCTGTTGTGACTATTAACATTATAGTAGCCTATAATAGTAACATGATAAAACAAAAAAGTCACAAATGAAAACGACCTTAAATGTAGCCTGCATGTATCTGTCCAGTATTCAATGCAATAAGACTCAAATAAGATTTTTTTTTTTCCTTCAGATAAGGATTCATCCAATGGGATCTTATTTGATTACAACTGAATTTACCATTAAGTTCCAAATTCCAAATGGAATTCTGTACACATGGAAATTGCCACAAAAGCTTGCAGTAACTATAAAGCTTTCCGTTTAAACTAAGTACATGTTCCTTTGGGATTTTGCGTTTTAAAACACTATTACAGGAGATCCCATTCATGCTAGACACTTGTTAAGTGGTTTTCCATCAACTGTCTAAACTAATACACCACAAAACATGCATTTACATGTTAGTTTTGTAAATAAGCTGACTGTAGCTATGTCTGTAACCCCCATTTAAAGCATCTCTGCCATCGTAAGAAACAGTCAAATGTGCCCAAACTTTCGCCTGGTTTTGTATGACCGTGAAACACACAGATTTCGAGGTTGTACACTTACAGGTAGCTCCCGCTGGTGAGGATGAGGAAGATCTGCGGATAGTAGACAGACAGAAGCACACTGCGCGAGGAGAAGAGGATCATGGTGACATATGGAGCGAACGGACGCTTTTCTGCCGGGCTGAGAGAAACAAACGCGTTTAGTTCCCGTAACGGAGCTTCCTTTACGCGGCGCGTAACTCCCAGACGCGTGTGTGTGCGAAGGAGACGCGCTGTGTCATCGCGCAGTTCGTTCCGTCGGAGCGGGCTGATGGTTTTGGGGGGATTCGGGGATGGAAACAGAAGTGGCTCTCTCTCCTCTCCGGAGACTCCGGGGCTGCCATTGGGCAGAGGACGGCACCATCACACCACCATCCGCCCACTTTTGGATAAAGGGGCCACTAGGGGCCACACTGACTGACATCGCGCCCGTGCCCGCTGAAAAGGTAACCGAGGCTCCCTAATGCAAGCACAGCGTCACTTAAAGGTTTAAATACTAAGTCTTTCATATGTTTATTACACGGACTTTGTGCGAATTCTTCCTAGGCTGCGCTGTAGTTTTTGGCGCGAAATGTGTTGGGGTTCGTCTTGTGTCACGCAAACTGAATTGTAAATTAGCGCGCCTCATAGGCCTAAGTTACTATCCAAACGCAATTTAGAAGACTTTCTAAGTTAATAATGTGATTCTGTCCACAGCGGTTGCTTCTCTATTTAGCGACGTGACTTGTGTTCGTGAGCATTTCATTTACTAAGTGAAAATATTGCTACTCTCCCTCACTCATCTTTTTTTTTGTGTGTTCACTCAACCATCTTACTTTTATGCAAATAAATATGTAGTAGCCTAGATTATTTTCAGATGGCTCGCTGACTAAAATTGTATTCGCCGCGGAAGTCACCATAGCAACAGTAGAATCTCGAGTTTTCTGGTAGAATCTTTGAATTGACTGAACATTCTTAAATTACTTTTCGCTTTGTTTACTTTCCCACTAGATTGTAGCTTGTAGCAACAGCAGACCCGTTTTTTTGTAGTACCTACTAAACTTTCTTTGTTGTTGTTCATAGATACCTAGGCTAATTGAATCACTAGTGCTGCTGACACTTCACGTGCTCGGAAATTTCTTACTTCCCACTTGTGAAGTCGTGATTATGAGCTCGTCGCATTCATATTTCGACTTGATATCTTTAACGAGGAAACTAGCCCTTGATAATTCCGATAGCACGTGAAGACAGAGCCTTTTTAGAAGAAAAAAAAAACGAGTAGAAGTTAACATATACACCAGTCCAAAGACAAGCTATAAATCTGTAGGCCAGCTTTATTAATGCGCTGAGTGAAATGCTATGCTTGTACCTGCATGTGCTGTAGCCTATATGTCATGTAGGAGAAAGAGGGTGAAGGGGGTATAGTGACAGATATCAAGCCTCAGGGGTGACAAAACAGGTTTGACCTGACGAGACCCCACATTATCTGAAGATCTCAAGGCATGCTTTGAGTCATATGAGGTCTTGGGAGCAATCTCCTGTCTTCTAAAGATTGCATGATTAATCTCAGAGCTTTGACATAATGACAAACGTGCTAGCAAGAGGCCAAAAATGAGGAGAAAAAAAAGAGTTTTTCTATTTTATAAGTTACCGTAAGCTATATAATCACCTGTTTTGGGTAAATAACAGCGGCATGAATGGATTTCCACTTCAAAAGATGGATAAAACTATGATCCTTCATCTGTTTGTGCATGCAGAAAGGCATACGCAGATCTAGATATGATATACTGATTACATTTTGCATTGCCGAGAGTATAATTTCTCAAATGGCAGTGCATGTGTCAAACGCACAGCACAAACTAAATAAACGAGAGCAAAGAGTTAAATATAAAAGTAAATGATGAATAGACTAGATGACAGGCGACCCTCTGTTGGAATACGAACAAATCCCTAAAGAATTCAGGTGAGGTCTTGCAAAACTAGAGGGTGAAGGAATGTGGAAATACAACTCGGCATGCTGTTATTACTGAGGGTATAGAGAGGTGAAAGCAAGAGAAAGAGAGTAAACCACAGATGAATCTTCCTGCAAACAGGTTAACTCAGACAAACATGGTGAAAAATAGCTGTAAAGATCATATTCACTCACACGACAACCTTAAACCCCTCAATCTTCAAGACTATTAGCTTTCAAAGCGGCAGCAGGTGTACAGATCTGAGATCACTTTTAGTACTACATGTATTTATAATGGCAATAAATGCAATGCAAACTTCTATTTTCAAAGTGCAGAACACAACACAACAAAAAAAAGTTATTGCTCCATGATTTTATCAACAAATGTGATCCCAAATGTCACAAGTGTTTTGGAGCGAAAAGTTGTGTAATATTTACTTTACTAATATTTAGAGCTGACATAAAATGCTTGAGCTAAGTGGACAAGTTCTTTACGTGCAATAATTCACCAAAAACTATATTAAACAGCTTTTTTTTTTTTGCTAATGCATCTTTATGATCTCATATTTGTACTTTTTAATCATACTTGCATGACCATTTCAAAAGAGTGAAGGCAGAATAGACTCAAAAATCTTAAAGAAAGTGCTTTAATTTTAACTTAAAATCATGATGTTGATTTTGATGTAATGCATCAACTACCCGAATGTAAACATCATGTTCCAGAAGAAGCACTTTCCATGTTTGCATTGCATTTAAAGTGCATATACATAATGCATCTCCTGCACTCACCCGAGTCGAGAATAAATGAGGCCGAAACACAGGAGCACGTTAAAGATCCACAAGCGCAGGGGTCTGACCATGATGTCCATTCAGTGCAGAAATCCACCTCACATCGGCCACACCGGTCCACCTGCGCACGCAAACACACTGTTTCGGTCTCTTCGACGGGTCTTTCTGATTCCCTGTAAAGTTAGAAATCTGAGAGCCATAGTCAGGGTTCAGATCAAGGATGCTTTGCCGTCCCGTTCTCGGGTTTGAAAGCAAGATTGAGGGTTTTACAAACGCTGTGTTTTCAAGGAGGAGCGAATTGAATGTTTTCAGGTGAACCTGCCGTGAGCGTCAAGTTCCTCCTCTCTCTCTGTGTCTCTCTCTCTCTCTCTCTCTCTCTCTCTCTCTCTCTCTCTCTCTGGTGGAATGCCGACGGTTTTATGTTCCAGGCTCATCGACTGCTGCTGGTTTGTTAAATTCTTTCCATTTCTCCGCAGGTGAAAGTCTAGGCCAGGTAACTCAAGCTTTATCCACGCCTCCTCAGCTTTACACTCACAGATGAGAGCGTTTTACAGGCATGAAACACGTGCTTTGGCTGCGCAGACCGCAAATGAAAGGCTTCGAGGCTCAACCCTCTCTTTTCATAATGAAATTGGCTGTAAGTCTATTGCACAATCAAGTGATCATTCCATGCATACGTTTCACGGTTGATATTTCATGACTCCGGGGAGGCGGGAACTAGATTTTATTTCTTGATTCGGTGCCTTTACACATTTAAAGATATTTTGTGGATGCAAACTCCATGTTAAGCAAATGCATTTGAACCAGTTGTTGATTTTATGGATGAGATGTTTAATATCGCAATCTTTTTAGGTTAATTGGGCAGCAAAGAAACTCGTTTCTCCTGAGAAAAAGACCTCATGTGTGTCTCCTCGAGATCTCAACAATGTTCCTCAAGATCAAAAGTTATTCAAAAAAGCATTAGCTCTGTAATCGTACTGTACGTCAACAACTGAGTTGATTGAATTGTGCCTGTTTTTGTGTGTTCCAATGTTAGGAGAAAAATCAGAGGAGAAAAATCAGAGAAGAAAAAAGAAAAATCACCAAATCTGCTTATAAGAGGCTGATAAGAGATTAAAAAGATGCATATTTATATAACTTAATAACTCAAGCAGTTGGAGATTTAATATATCAGTTGCATTTTAGATAAGTAAACTACATAAAAGCTAATATGTATATATATATATATAAGCTAAGTTCATATCTATGTTCAAGTCAACTATCATGTGGTTTCTGTACAGGTTCAGCAAGAGATTCAGTGCAGTGAGAAAACAACACTCCCCCTTGTGGTGAAGAGCAAACATCTCACTGCAACCGCCCAGGATTACACATATGATTTCACTGGATTATATGGAGTACATTTAATAAGCATATTCTGAGAAACTAATACCCTAAAGCTTATAATTAATACCCAGTGTTCTTAGTAGAAAAACGTTGCTGGGGCAACACGAAATTTTCAATTCTACATGTGTTCATACTGGTTTTGGGTGGTATTGTGTGTGTGTGGCAGCTGGCATGCCTACAACACCTGATAACCAACAATTGAACCAGTTAACAGTAATTTTTAGATGTATGACTAGCGGTAATGCAGTAATTCCAGCAAAGCTGTGAATTTCTAGTCATGCAGAGTTTTCTTTGAGGGCGCTATTTTAAATCAAATCAATGTTAAGAAACAAGCCTTAAAATACTTTTAAAGAACAGGAATGATTTTCTTCCTCTGTATTTTCGTCTTGTTTTTCAGGATAAATATCAAAACTTTCCTAAATCAGTTTACTTAAGAAACTTGGATATTAAGTATAGTTTTCTAAAATAATTTATCAAAATTAAGTGAGTTTATGCTTAAAACTAGAATAAATATCTGCCAGTGGGGACAGAAAAATGGATTTTCCCTTTTCTTACCCCGTTGGCAGACATGTGTCTTTTTAAGCGTAAAGTTACTTCATTTTAATATATTTTTTAAAAAACAAGACTTAATATTTGACTGCATTTTACTTCTCAAGAAAAAGTATCTTGATTTAAGAATGTTTAGATATTTGTACATTAAAAAAAACAAGACAAGAATACTAAGTAAAAGCCTGTTCACCAAGAAGGATAACTATAACGATAGAGAAAATGAAATAAATATAAGTATAATGTAAATTCATAAGTCGACAGCATTGCTGAGTATTTTTTCCTTAAAACTGCAGTGAACCAAAGACTGCAGTCTCAAAAACACGGTTTGAAATCGCTGGTGTTTCTGACGTCACAAACGACCTTGTAACCAATCAGATCAACGTGTGATCGTCAACCAGTGGATCTCTGAGCTGAGTGAGTGAGTGGAGGCGGGGCTCATTTGCATATTCATAGAACTGCGTATACTAAATGAGGCAAGGGTGTAGAGTTACATTCAAGATATTTAAGACATGACTTCTTTTTTATTTTCAAGGAAAAAACTTTAAATATGCCATTTTGGTGATCAAAGATGAGTTTTAATAGATACAATTGACTAACAGGGGAACTTTGTCCCACTTGCGCTTGTCCATATAATGGCAGTGAATGAGACCTGCTTAAAAATACGTAAAAGTATCACAGAATGATGATTTCAATGATTCCAAATGTTCTGGGGTTTTATGATAGGGTTTGGTGAAAATCAAAACCAAAATTTCATGTATTATTTAACAACATTTTTGACCTTGGCCATTGGTCTTGTGTGCTAGACTGCACAATTTTGTTAAATAATACATTAAATATTGGTTTGTTTTTCACCAAACCCTATCATAAACCCCCAGAACACTTGGAATATACGGCATGTTTTCTGACGTTTAAAATTCTCCTTTTGGGGTCCATAAAAGAAAGAAGTTCACACAGCATTACAACAACACCAGGGTGAGTAAATTATTTAATTGAAGATCTGATTTAATAAAGTAAATTATTGAATTGAATTACCTAATTTTCATTTTAGAGTTAACTATCCCTTTAAGAAAATCACGTTTTGCCGTGGCAACATGAACTGAACTATAAAGGCTCAACAATATGCAAAATTAACTTTTTTAAATAAAAAAATGCAATGCTGTATATATAAAATCCCTCAAATAAAGGTAATTCAAAGATATTACTGACTTGTACAGCATAGAATTAGACCACAAAACGGCTTTAGAAGTAAATAGTACTTGCATATTAATATATCATTGAACATAAACCAGAAACATCTGACTTGAGGAAAAGTCTCCATTTGCTCTCCATTGAATCTGAAACAATTGAGACATCAAGAGATTGTGAGGCAAAAACCGAGGCCTGCAAATGTAAACGTGGCGGCACACAGATGGACACACACACACACACACACTTATGAAGTAATGATTCTCCAGTACTTCCTGTTAATGGCACTAGTATGTCACTCATCTGTTCAGATGGTTCATTTTTGTTGACAGAGAAAACCCAACAAACCACAGAAATGCTTTGTTCCTTGACATCCCTTCTTTTACAGTTTTAAGAGCGCACTTCAAAACAAGCTCACAGTTACACCAGATGGTCGCTTGACGGATTGAAACTCAATATAAAGTCGCTCAGGGGGTGATTGTTGCGGCGAGGCGGTGTTTGAAGCGACCGCATAAAACCATGCTCTTGTTTGTCACCATGGCCGTAATTTTTTGATTTAGCTCCATTAAAATGTTTAAAGGACAACCAATCTGCTGCTTTTATGAAATCCAATTGTCAGGATGGCATGTGTCACTGTATTTTCACGCCACATGTTTGTGTGCGTGCAGACGGTTTTGCGCTTTATTTGAGGCGAATGCGTTTCCAAAAGGACTTCAAAAAGGACAGAGGATGATGTCATATAAAGACAAACAGGTCGAATGCACACAAATTGCTTCTCCATGAATGGCTAGCTTAGCCTACAGTAGCTTTGCGAGTAGCTATTAAAGATATTGTGTTATAAACGTAGGTTATAAACTCGATGGGAAATTCCCCTATGCAACAAAAACCGCTATTAAAAACAAACACTGTTAACTAGCGCTTACTCTGACGCATTGGCTCTGTTACAAAACCTTAATCAAAGCATGCTCGAATTAATTCAGTTTTCCCAATATTGTATTTTTATTAGGGATGCACCGATATTCAAATTTTGGCTGATACCGATAACCGATAAATCTTTGTATTTGAAAGCCGATAACCGATATATATCGGCTGATAAATCTAAACCCAAATTTTTATATCATTTTGAGAGCCTGATTACAAAAACAAAACCCTCACCATTAAAATCCACCTCCCAAGCTCACAAAGCTAACGTTCTCATTATAGTTTTTTATAGCCGATATGACAGACTGTTGCACTGAACTGTATTTTCCTTTTTTGAAGTGATTCCAATCATATTTCAAGCAATTCAAAACCATCATGTTGATCAGTGCGCATCTTTAGTGTCTCAGCTGAAGGACATAATCTATTATTTATCAGCTTTAATATATCAGCCAAATTTTATTATCAGGCCGATAACGATAACATTTAGGGTGTATTCACACCTGCCTTGTTTGGTTCGATTGAATCGAACTCTAGTTCGTTTCCCCCCTTGGTGCGGACCTTTTGGGCAGGTGTGAATACAGCAATCGAACTCGGGTGCGGACCAAACAACCGAACCCAGACCCAGCTGAAGAGGTGGTCTCGGTACGCTTCCAAACGAACTCTGGTACGGTTCGTTTACGGTGTGAACATGAACCGACCCAATTGCAAGAAAGCACTGCGCCTTTGAGTTAACAGGCTTCCGTAGTCGGAGATTTTGGCATAATGGTTTGTGTTATTGTTGTTTAAGTGCGAAAGAGAATTCCATTCCGGCGCCTGTCTGGCCACACGATACTGTTGCGCGTCTTTCTACGCGTCGTGTGTGTGCATCACTGGAATGGAATGAATGAATGAGTGTGTGCATCAGGACATTCAAACACAGAGCGTTCTCTTTAATCTAATCGCGCATAGATGCAAAAAAAGCTTTTGCAGTTCATATAATGTAACGATAGTTACAATACAAGGATGACGCTGCGTTAAACTGGACAAACTTAAATCGCAAGCGTTAACATTGACAGCACTTGTTAGCAGTAGCCTATATACAATAAGAATCTCATTATTTGAATGTGTGAACATAGCGCCTCTCTATGAATGAAAACTTTATACCTTATCCGTCTTCTGCGCAGTTTCTTCATATTGCGTTTAAGTACAGAATAACACAAAATTAGTAAAATAACAAATATTGCAGTACGAAATATCTCCATGCTGAGCCTTTTTTGCACTTCCTGATTTCCCTACTTGAGAATCCTTGTCCAATGAATGGACGACCTTAGCACACATGTGGTTTTGTTTACAAATTTTGGTTCACTTCCAAAAAGAGCAGTGTGAAAGCGAACCATACCAAAAAAAATAAAAAAAATAATTTGGTCCGGACCAAAGCAAGTGAACTATCGGACTTTCCTGGTGTGAATACACCCTAAAAATTAACATATATCATCCGATACCGATATGATGGCCGATATATATCGTGCATCCCTAATTTTTATGCTTATTAGAATTTGAATAGC